ATAAATCCTTTGTCTCTAAAACTATGGGCAAAGAAAACTCCAATTCATCATGAGCTCTCTAGGCTTGAATGTTTTGTTTTAACCAAACAAAACAAAGCCACTATTACAGGGACAAGTACTTAGTTCAGATATACAAAATTGACACAATATTTCTTCATAATATGTGTAACTAGCATATACATCAGTATTCATATGCTCAAAGCAAAATGTCTCATCAACAGACTGCTGTTGTTATTGGTTGGGAAACTCACTGAAATCTGCTTTTGCATTCTACAGCTTATCAGGATGCAAACTTTAGCAACAAAGTTATAAGCAATTAACTCAGTATGAATAACTGTTTCTTCTTCCACTTGAGTGTGATTTCCCTGGAATTGAGCCTTGATTGGGATGAGAAATCCTGGATCAATTACAATCCCTAAAATCATTGGTTTAGTGTAATCAACTCAAAATTTTATTTAATCTTTGTGATTTTCATACAATATAGTTTGATGGCATTTAGATCCCCTCCCCTATCTATACCTTCCTCCACAGCACCCCCATTTATATGTTATATATATGTATATATATTTATGTATATCAGTTTACATGATCTTGTTGTGTCCCCAAATATCATTGAGTGGGTTCATCCACTGGGTCCACCAAGAATCAAGAAATTGATTGCTGTGAATTCTGTAAAACCCTGTCACTACCCCTATTTTCTGAAATTGTTAATCATTTCTTGAATTTTTCTGGTAAGATTTTAGAAGTTTTAATATATAATAAAATATCATCTTCAAATAAGGATAATTTGACACCTTCCAATTAGTATTCCTTCAATTTCTTTCTCCTGTTTTATTTCTCCATCTAGAGTTTCAAACACTATATTGAAAGGTTTGGGGATAGCAGACAAGCCTCTATGGTACCTAATTTTAATATGAATGCTTTAAATTTTTCTCCATTCAGAATGATGTTGACTGTGGGTTTGTTGTACAAAGCCTTAATTATATTGAAGTATGTTCCCTCCCGTTTAATTATGTCTAGGGCTTTCATCATGAATTGTATATTGAACTACCCTTGCCTCTCTTGAATAAAGCCTACTTTATTGTGGTGAATGGTCTTTTTGCGGTGTGTCTCTATGTTCTTTGTGAATATTTTGTTGAGAAATTTTTCATTGAAGTTCATTAAAGATATGCACTTACATTTTTCCTTTTGTTATTTCTTTACCTGGTTTGGTCATTAAAGTAATACTGTTTTCATGGAATGAAATAGTTTCCCTTCATTTCTATCTTTTTGAATACTTTAAGTAGTAATGGTTGCAGATCTTCTCTGAAAGCCTGATAACATTCTAATCTGAATCCATCTGGGCCTGGTGTTTTTGGTTGTGAGGCTTTGTATTTTTGTTTTGACTTCATTTATTATAAGTCTATTTAAGACCTTGATTACTTCTTGTTTTAAAAACTATTTATCATCTTGCTTTAACAGCTGTTGTTCTCTTGTATTATTTTTTAAAAGTGATTTCTTAGTCATTTATATTTTTCTTTAAGAGCTCTCTGTTCAGATCTCAGGCCCAATGTATAATTTGATCATTTATATTCTTAAACCTTTGTTTTTGAGTTCTTTGTGTATTCTGAATGTGGATGCGTTGTCAGATTTATAACTCACAATGATTATTTCCCACTCTGGGGTATCTCTCTTCATGTGATTATTTCTTCTTCTCTTAAAATCATTAGATTAATGAAATCCCATTTGTCAGCTGTTGGTCTTAATTTCTGAATGAAGGAAATCTGATTCAGAAATTCCTTTCCTGAACCTGTAGTTTGTCGGATTATGCCCAAACTATTTCTAGCAATTTTCAGTGTTGCAGATTTGACATTGATCCATTTGTGCATGGTGATAGACATAGGTACAATTTTGTAGTTCTACATGTAGACATCGACTTTTCCCAGTATTTTTTGTTGAAGATGCTCTCTTATCTCCAATGTGTCTTTGTTAAAACTTTGGAACTAGCAAGTGGCTATAATAATATGCATTCCTGTTTGGTATTCAGTTTGGATTTTCTATAGATTTGCATATCTGTTTTATGCCAGTAGCATGTTGCTTTTATTAGTCTTATTCTGTAATGTTGTTTGAAATGTGGTGTGATAATCTGTCCAACATTGATCTTTTAAATTGGTTACCTTTCAATTGCTGTGATAAGACACCAAGGCAACTTAAGGAAAGAAGAGTTTTTTTCAATCACAGTTACAGAGGGTTAGGAGTCCATAATGCTGGGAGTCATGGCTGCAGATATTAACCAGAGCAGGAAGCCAAACAACCACATCTTAAACCAGGCACAGGAAGCAGAAA